GACGTGACATGTTCGTACGAACACTTTGTACGAACAAAAGTAAGAGAAATTTAGGATAAGAATACGAACATGTTCTTGCATGAGGCCCAATGTTACAACAAAGAAATAATCTACCAAACACAATTTTCTTACTCTGTTTTTTGTTCTAAGTTTATGTTGCCGGCCATCTTTCATGCCAGAGTTTTAAACTAAGATCACCTTCTGTTGAGAAATGAAGTCCGTGTCGAGATCTTGCAAGGTTTGATGATTAGCTGTGCCAGCCGCCCTAAATTAGGGTGACTCCAAAATGTAATCAATAATCAAATACTGTATAATAGTCATATATCTGATGATTACATTCAGAAATTTTCATTCAAATCCATCTTGTGATTCTTGAGATATTTTGCTAACAGGGTTAACTTCTAAAGGTAATTGCAGTACTTTAAAGGGGGAGTTATTATGTATTTTCCAGGCAATTTTATACCACAGTCAAGAAACTATCTTTCCTTAAGTTGCTATAAAAATTCTGTATATATCAAATATAGATTTGACTCTGCATCATGGTCAATTTAAATGCCTTTAAATTGTTCCCTGTCTTTTTGAGAACCTTCCAACACTTCCACTTCAGCATATTTTTAGACAATACTTCAGGAAATGGGTGCTCTGTGGGGCAGGAGCTCAGCTCAGGACTGAGCTCCAGGTGTTTAGGCAGCTCCACATGGCTACCACTAGCCTGGTAAAAACCAGACCCTTGTCCTTCACTTTGCTTCACACGAGGGTCTGGACTCTCGGCTATAGAGAAGCGATTCTTGCTGGAGGCGTGGCCTCTGCTGAAGTTTAAAACGATTGGATCGGTCGGCCGCGGCGTGTGCGTGCCAGCTCCACTGTGAAGGAGGCTAAGCTAAGAAGCTACCCGGAAATCGCGTGTGCTGTAAACAACCCTACTGAGAGGAGAGAAGTACTGAGCCGAACGAGACGACTGTAAATGAGAGCTGCTGCTTTGTCAGACAAATTTAATTTAATTTGGAAGTCTTATCAACACAGACTGACTTCATTCACTTCCTCCACTGCCGTATGCTAAACTAACTAGCAGACACTGCACAGAAAATCAACATTGTTCAAAACTCCGCCTTCTGTTCTCTGATTGGCCCAGGTGAAATAAACTACAAGCAGACACTGCACAGAAAATTGATGTTCTGATCTCTGATTGGCCCGGATGAAAATTTTCCCGAATAAATCCTTGTCTATGGGAGAAATCCCAGACGGAGCAGTGAAGGGAAACTAGAATTGAGCGGAACAGTGCAGGAAGGCAAGGGCCAGGCTTGGCAACCACAGGAGATTCAAGGAATTATCAAACATGCGTGAATGAGTCAAAGCAACTCTGGGTATGTTTTTGGTGAGGGAATGACATTATAATATGATATAAAGCTCAAAAAAGTAGACTTTGCATAATACCCCTTTAAAGAAAGACTTCATGCCATCAGTTAGCTCTCACAATATGAGTTGTAGAGAACTCTCAACTACTACCACACCAAATTCTAGCTTGTATCTGTAAAAGTGACTAAGTTATAGTCCTCCTTGTGTTTAAGCTCAATTAGCTGTGGCAGCCGTATTGAGTTGGGTTAACTCCAAAAGTTAATCAGTTGTAGAAGTACACTCAGGGATTACTCCCTAAAAGTTTCATTAAAACTTATTCAGTGGTTTATGAGATATTTTGCTAACAGACAACATTCTCAGCTTCTTGCTTTGGGCTTTATAACTAAACCATGTTTGTATGTTTATGGCTGCCTCAAAGGAGCAATATAAAGATAAAGCATCAACCTGCTTGTCATTCTTATGTCATTTTGTATACATGCTAGCATGCATGTGTTTTTGTTTTGCAGCCATCTCACCCTCTGTTAACAGTTACAACGAGACCCTGAGCACCCTGCGCTATGCTGCCCACGCCAGAAATATTGTCAACAAGCCTCGGGTTAACGAGGTCAGTGGTTGTTCAGGCCAAATGTTCCATCCAAGGGTTTTTGGAGTCGTAACACATGCTCTGATTTCTGCGCAGGACGCAAACGTTCGTCTGATCAGGGAACTGAGGGAGGAGATCGACAGACTGAAGAGCATGCTGCTCAGCTTTGAACTGGTACAGCAAACTTTATCACAAGAACACAGAGCTAAAGCTGATACCTCTCAGGGCTGCCGCTGCTGGAGACTCACTTGCAGATGTTGTGGTTCTTAAAGGTGGGGTTGGGACCTCACGTGCTGAAACACAAAGTGAGGCATCTTGAGGAATTCTGCAGAAACTAAATAAACTTTAGAAATGATTGCTAATAGCTTATTTAACTTTAACTAAAGAAATGAAAACAATTACAAGTGATAAAAATAATATATTTGACACGCAGGGTTCATGCCGGGTCTTAAAAAGTCTAAAAAAGTCTAAAATTTCAAAATCAAAATTTTAGGCCTAAAAAAGTCTTAAAGACGTGCAAATTTTCATCCAAGGTCTTAAATTTAATTTAGTCAAGTCTTAATTTTTTCTACTTTTGATCATTCCTGAGAACCGTTGGCTGCGTAAATAAAGAAAGTTAAGAGTCGTAATCAGATCTGTCTTCATGAAGTGCTAAGTTTGCTACTTGTCATGATTAAAATACAAATCCTATGATAACTGCAGGCAAAAATGTCACAGTTTACTTCCATGTTTTTGACCTCTTTGCCGCTACAACCCCCCACATACAGCGGCTTATTTACCTGCTCAAAAAACAGAAGTTCAGTCATGTCCACTGCTTGTTGTTTAAACATGGGAAAGTGTATTTTCAATGAGACTTGACTTGATATCAGTGATTTTTTTTCACTCAGTCAGATATGACCGTTTCATTCAAATAATTTAGTGTTGTTGAATTGAAATGACATATTCTTTAATAACTAAATTGATAGCAATAAAAGGTTTCAATGTTAAAATTTCTGGGACCATTTGAATGTTTCTGTTAATGTGTTGATTTGGTCTTAAATGTCATTACTAATGGTCTTAAAAGGTCTTTAAAAGGTCTTAAATTTAACTCACTGAAACCTGCATGAACCCTGGACATGTCTTCCTGGGAATGTTTTCTTCAATCAGCAACAATTCTGTTTCTGCAATTTTTATTTTAGCTTTTTTGTATAGCCCTGAATGTCCCAAGTCTAATCTTTTTTCATGGTGTGTAGTCCAGTGGATTAAATCACAAACCTGGGTGCAGATGTTTAGGTGGGTACAAGGTGGGAGGAGGAGGTGGGCAACAGAAAGATGTACACAGTCTACAATACCATTTTCCAAGACATGCACACAAAAATAGGTTGTAATTTTCAAAAACTGGCTTCACAAAACACAAGCACACACTTTGCTGGTGGTTTGGTTGCAAACATTCAGAATTCAGTGGGGCTGCAGGTATTTGACTATTTTCTCACAAATTTGAGTCTTCAACAGTCGCACCCTCGTGAGAAACTGGTCTCACTCTCCAGGGATATACCCTACTGAGTTCACTCCCCTGTAAAAAACAAACTAAAAACCCACACTGTGGTACTTTAGTCTTTGAATAAGAGAGTTTCTTGCATTACCTGTCCTAAACGCAGTGCTTAATGCAATGATGACATTTCTAAATCCCTCTAAGGAAAATACTTTGTTGCATTTTGAATTGTGTGACATTTTCTCTTAGTGCTGCATGACTGATCATTATTTTCTCCTGTGAACTTCCAGCAGCGTAATCCCAGTCCATCTCTGAGTGATGAGAGAGATGGAAGTCTGTCTGAAATTGTGTTGCAGAACGAACTGAAGGTATTTAATCTGATTTTAGATTTGTCAAGCCTGTGTGCCCTCACAGTAATTTAAAAGCCTGACTGATGTGGCGTGTGTCGCAGGTGGAACAGCTGACAAAGGACTGGTCGGAGAGCTGGAGAGACAAGAAGGAGCTGCTGGAGCAGTACAGCGTGGACATCAACAGAGACCGCGCCGCTTTCCTCATCAACTCCCTTCAGCCACACCTGGTTTCCCTGGATAGAGATGTTCTCAGCACCGGGGTTGTCCTTTATCACCTCAGGGTAAGATGGTTTAAAAAAAGTGAAAAATATAGTTTATTTTATTTAAAAAAATGTTTTTTATGCAGATGAATGCTGTAAAGCAAAAAATGCATGTAGGCATTAACAGTGGGATGCAACATCTCACATGCATCATTTGCATTTGCTCTACTTTTCCAAAATCTTTGGTGTCTGTTTTTGTCAGCTGTCCTGACTCAAATCTTCTGTTTTTCTGTCTAGATTCCTTCTCTTCTCCTCATACTAGTATTTCTGTGTTCTTCTAAAAATAAATCTTGTGGAAAGGTGCGTTCTTTTGTCTTCTCTTTCCACTGTCCTGTCAGTTTCCCCTTTTTGTGTGTGTCGGTGCGTTTCTTCTTCGGTGCATAAAGCTTGGCTGGATAAGAGGCTCTTAGTTCTGCAGCTGAGATTCAGGGGAGCCTAAACTGTCCTGATTCTGACAACGACAAGCATACCTCGAGGCCTGACAATTACACTGCTTCCTGCGTTTGAAGAGTCACGGTCACATGGGAGAACTTGTGGTCCCTTTTAAAAAAAATAGAACAGAAAAAAGTACGAGAATAAAACAGTTTCTCTGTGAGTTTTGTTAAAGATTAGAAACAGTTCTTGACGAGCTTGTTCAGTCGTGTTCTGACAGCTCTGTTAGGAGCATCTGATTTTTTTGGGGTGGTAGAGTGAGGCACCCCCAGTGGCAACGGCACCTGAATTGGAAACTTTACTTCTCATGTAATAAAACATCTGTAAACCTAGGCAGCTCAAAACAACTTGGGAATGTTGGAATTTGTTGTAGAGTTGAGACAATTAATAATAAACAAGTTTAAAACCACCTGCGTAAAGGTATTGCTTGTTGTTTGTTGGACTAATATGTTGTAGTCTGTTGTCCTCTTCTACATCCAAACATATGCACTCATATACAGTGTGTTTGTGTAT